GCTTCTCCGGTGGGCCTCCCAGCCCCCTTTCCGCTCGCGTGACGCGGCTGTGACGTCACACCGGGCCCCTCTGACGCCACCGCCCGCGTTGGGGTTCCGCGCCCCCTTCTCCCCGTAGGCGAGGGGGGTATCCCTGTCTCCCCCTGTGCGCGGGGACGGGTCTTCCAAGGGCCAGCCGCCCGGGGCCCTTCAGGGGGTGGGACTCCAGCTCCCATCCCTCCCCCAGCAGCCTGGGAGGATGGGAACTGGGGTCCAGGATAATGGGAGGGCATCCTACGCCTGGCGTGGGGGCGCTGCCCGCAAGTGCCCTCTTCCAGCCTTGATTTCTCTTTGGAGGGGCACCTTCTGCCCCCCTGGGGTGATTTTATGTGGTGGGCGGGGCAAAAAAGATGCTGTGCCTTTTGGTTCCTCGGGAAAGGGTGAAATTCCGTGGCCAAAGCCTACGGGGGGTCCCAGGTTAGTCTCCGGCAGGTTTCTTTGGAAGGATTGGGTAACAAGTCCTGGGGGGAGTCTGGGGTTGAACAGGGGTGTGAGCATTTGGAGGGCAGCGCTTTTTACGCTGGGGGTGTTGTTTGCCCTTTTGGGTCACCGGCTGTTGGGCACTCAGTGATGGGAATCCCAAGCGGGGACCTTGGAGAAGAGCTCCCGTAAGACATGGTGTTGCAGCGGATGGGCACATAGTCTAAGGCAGCTTTCTTGCACTTTCCTTAGGAGAAAATAAGTTGTGCATTGTGATAGCCTTTGGTAATTGTTGGTAGCCCCCACGCAGGGATTAATTTGAGGTAGCCAGGATGGCCCGCAAAGGTGTGTTCCAGTGTATTCGATGCCACGCTTTGTGGTAAGCAGAGGGAAGAGCTGCAGTTTGGCAGGGACCTGTGTGGGTAATCTGTCTCACAGAAGAGCAGTCTTGGAAGAAGCTTCTTTTGTAGCTGCTGCTCCTTAACTGAAAAAGAAAGAAAACATTTGATAGTCTTTGTTCCTTGTGCTTTTTTCCCTGCTTTATGAAGACAAGAGTGGGGAAATGCCTCCATGTCCTGCGTTTTGTCTTCCCGGGAACATAAGGCTGGAAACGGTGCTAGAAGAAATAGTTCTTGATGGGTCTAGCAGAGCTCTCACATTTAGCTTTTGGGAGTAGATGGATTGGGTAGAGACTCCAAAAAAGTTCCTTCTTCGAAGCACATTTCTGGTGATGGCCCAGTGAAAAGTGTAGAAAGTATTATGAGTTCCTTTCTCTGGGTGGAGTGGCCTTGTGCAACAGAGTGTCCCCTCGAATCGTTTAGTGTGTCACTCTCATGAAATGCAAAAGGCCCTGGTAAATTATAGCAAACTTGTTCTTGCAGAGTATTTCATTTTGAATTGTCTTTTTGATTGCAGACAAAATACACACTGATTGATGAGCAAGACATTCCGCTTGTGGAGAGCTACTCTTTTGAGGTAAGAATTCAGGTCTCCATCTCCTGCGTTAATTCTCCAGACTTCCCTTAGTCACTCTGAATTGGAGATAGGCTGTATTTCTGAAGCCCTCGAGATCTCAGATTGCAGTCCCAATATTCCAGGCTGTTGTCGTCAGACCACTGTTTATGTTTAGTGCTTTAAAGGTGGAATGAGAACTCCTGGAGGGTTTCTGTGCCCACCTGGGTTTTTAAAGCTCTGCCAAAAAATGTTAATTATATGGTGATATGGCCTCGAGTTGCAGCTATCAACCTTTTATTGTGCTTTAGATGTACAATCAACACCGAATGTCTCTAGACTTGCTCTCTCTTTTTTTAAGGCTCCTGTTACTGTTATTTTTAATTTCAATTAAAAATTAATCGTATGAATTGACTTATTATGTTTTACAATATTAGCATTGTAGTATAACCAAGTGGTCTTGGAAAGTTGATGGGCATTCAAACATTTCAGATATGTAAACTGAATTGCTCTTCTTTTCTGTCCAGGCTCGGATGGAAGTTGATGCTGATGGAAATGGTGCTAGAATTTTTGCTTTTGCATTTGACAAAAATCGAGGGAGGGGATTTGGACGTCTGTTGCATGAGTTACTGTGGTAAGTGTTGTTGTGGAAAGGAAACACAGCTACAGGTTTCCAAAGAAAAGTGTGTGTGAGGTGTCTTTAGAACTGGGCTTCTGTTGCAAGTTAAGAGAGGGAAACAATCTGTGTGAAATGTTTCTCCCTACTTCACTGCTTAATGAGGTTCATGTGGGTTATATGTTCAGAAACATATGAACCAACAGCTTTCATTTCCAAACCTGTTTTTTCTTCTGGTTTGCTAAAGAAGAAATGTCAAAAATGAATTTAGTTTTCTTCTCTCTTCTTGCTCTGTGCTGCTGTTATTTCTTTCTTTTCTTTTTTTGTTTTGAACTTTCAGAAAGGAAAGACATTTTGGACAAGGTGATGAGGAATTTACTGGTAAACCTCCTTGTCAAAATCTTTTATAAAGGAGAATGTAATTATACCATAAATTACACCATAAAATGACCAATATACATAAAAGTAATTAAAGATTGGGAGAATAAATTAGGGCTTTTTGGGTAAGCAAAAATTATAAAGTATGTTGTTCTGTGGAGGGCGTTCCTCAATTGAAAATGCATCTTTCTTAATCTCCATTTACCCTCCAAGGAGAATGGGATCTCCTTGGAGAAATGCAGGTCCTGATATTAAAAGGGTTTAGTGGTCAGCTAGGGAAGGCAAACTGCAGTCCTATGGCTGCCTCTCTCCCTGAAGCCCTTTTTGCTGTTAAATGCTGAGAACTGCTATGGCATTTTCAGGTGGAGAAGTATGGTCATAGTAGACTTAAAACTAGCTCAAAACACTTCAGAAAAGAAACTCAGCCTCCTCAAAACAAACTGGAAAAAAAGGAATCTACGCTGTGTTAATCTAATGTGGTTCAATCATGGCAGTGCTGCCTACTGCAGCCCTGGGGTCTGCTAAAAATATTAGGGGATCCCAGTAAGTAACTGTTTCCTAAGGTGGTTTATGAACTCAGAAGAACCAGGAATTTGCGGGGCTTTTACAAAGCTAGTCAGCTCTGCTCCAAAAGGTCTGTCTCACTTAGAATCCTTGGCAGCTGCCTGTAGACTACAGGTCTCTGAGTCTTCATGGCAGCATGGATTTGCAAGAGTCTTCCAAATCCAGTTTGGAAGCATTGTCATCCAACCTACCGCAAACTGTAGGCTCTGTGTTATTTTTTTCTGTGTTATTTTTTTCAGGGAGAGACACCGGGGAGGCATTGCCCCAGGGTTCCAGGTGGTGCATTTGAATGCGGTGACGGTTGACAACCGCCTGGACAACTTACGATTGGTGCCGTGGGGCTGGAGACCCAAAGCTGAAGAAATCTCTAGCAAGCAAAGGTAAATTCTCCATCAAGAGATGCAACGGGAGGAGGAGGAAACAGAATCCAAAGTTCAAGAGCTGCAGGAGTCACTGCTTTCCTTATCTCTTTGCTGTGTTGAGTTGGGGAAAAGTAAACTTGCCCTGAGAATAGGTTCTTCCCCTCAGTCTTCAATGGGAAGAGAATTTCTTGCTGTGTCCGTAGGTACTGTAAATGTTTGTGTTTTAGAAGTGCCGTGAAACAAATACGATTATAGGTAACCCAGGTCAGGAAACAGACACTGAGAATTCTAGGAATGCTAGTTTATTATTGTAGGGTGTAATAACAGAATCTTGAAAGCCTGCCAGAGTGCCTCTTTTACTTCTCTTATACCAAACAGAATCAAGGCAGGGCAATCTTGAGTTTCTTTCTCATGCATTCCCCACGCTAAGTTGTTTCTCCTCCTCCTTTGATGGCCCCTTTCCTTCACTGAGGTTATTTCCACATTCTTCTTCACAAATGTGGACAATTAGTTTTGGTGCCTGAAGGCCTCTTTTTCCTAGTGCAATGTGGAATCAAGTCTTTTTGTCCTCTGAGCAGTGAGCTTACAAAGAGAGCCACAAGATAAAATCTTCCTTGGAAATTCAAGCCTTTTTTTTTTTTTTTTTTTTTTTTGGCTGTTTTGCATTTTTTCTGGGTAAAAAAGCTGGTATAAATGGAAATAAACAGACTCAAGCAAGTGAACTGAGTGACTGGAGGCAGTGGAAGGGAATTAAATATGAAGAGTTTCTAATGGCTGGCAGAAAACTTTAGAATTATACAGAAGACTTTAGAATGAGAGAGACCTTTTCTTCAATAATAGTTCAAACTAATGAGAGAAGTGTGTGTGCTTACAGAGCCAGGCTTACGTTGTCTGTTGCTGTTTTGAAAACAATCAAAATACTTTGCTCCTTATTTAAAGACAAAGCAATGAAAGAAAGATATATGTTATTATTACAAATACAATAATTGGAAAACTTGTTGAGTCCATTGCTTTTTTGAAGACAATAGAGCAACACATTTTCCTGGTTACTTAGATATAAAACGGTGAATGGGGAAAAAAGTGTACAGGGCTATTATAAAGACCAGAAATTTCAACTGTGTTACCACTGTAGCAAAAGGTGCAGTAAAGATGTGGGAACTAATTCTTGTTTTGTTTTTCTTTTAATGCTTCCATCTCACTGTGTTCCTCCTGCAGTGGAGCCCCAGTTGGGGTGGTGAAATAAGTGGTTGTTAAATGAGTCCCTTAGAAGAATTGGTTTTTCCCTGTGACCCAGGCAAAGGATCTAAATCCTTTTGGGGCCATGTGAAAGGGCAAGTTTTATCATCTCAGATCTTGCAGAAGAAATGTCTAACCGTTATTCTTGTTGTTGAAGGGAACAAAGCTTATACTGGTTGGCGATACAGCAACTCCCCACAGATCCCATTGAGGAGCAGTTCCCTGTGTTGAATGTAACACGCTATTATAACGCTAACGGAGATGTGGTGGAAGAAGAAGAAAGTTCCTGCACATACTACGAATGTCACTACCCTCCCTGCACGATGATTGAGAAACAGGTACGTGCAAAGCCAGAAGCAGGGTTGTGGGGCAAGACTGCCTTGGCACGTGCCTTAATTTTGCCCCCTCCGCCTCCCTATTTCATGAAATGCAACTGGGTGAGAGTTTTGTTTGGATAATTCTGATAAATCTCAGGGGGAGCAAGTGTTGGTTGTCGGTGGCCCTAAGTTGATTTCCTGGAGATGCTGTTTTTCTTAGTGTGGGTGGAACGTAGGGTGTTGGTTTAAACCCTGTTGAAAAAAACTACAGGGAAGAGAAGGAGTCGTAGAAATCTTCAGGAAAGGTGTTTCTGCCAAGAAGCACAAGCTGCATACTTGATTCTGAGGATAATTCTGGATGTTTTTGCAGAAGGAAAGATGCTAAAAAGCCTGTGGATGTTGGAAAAAATTAATGTTAGAGCATCTACTTTGTAGGTACCAAATCCAGTTCAGTATTCCACCACTAGACAGGCTCCTGAAACCCTTGAGAGCTGTGTCAACCTTGCATCATCTCCAGTGGTTCAAGGACCACACCAGGTGTTGCAATAGCAAGGCAAAAGCTGAACTCCAAAAGGCGTTTCAAGGGATTGAACCAGAGCCTTAAGCATCTGCTACGCTCCAGTCACTCCCTTTGAGCTCCTCAGAGCTCCTCTGAAACCAAAAAAGACCTGACTGTTTGGCTCTGAAGGCCCGAAAAGGAGCATCAGCGGGTTATGCGTCCTTAGGACGAATAATACTGAAACTTTCTTCTCTTCCTAAAACCATAATTTGCAGGGAAAGAAATTAGCAATGTATCCAACAATGCTGACTTCAAATAATGTATTTATTTGATCTATTTGAATGATGTCTACGCTCCCCCCCTCCCCATTTCACAACAGTAACTCTGGGTGGCGTACAACGATTAAAAACCCAACAGTTATAAATACTAGCTCATGATACCCAAGGTAAATCATAATACTCATCAATCATAAAATCACATCAGCAACAGAGCCTGCCTAACCTGGTCCGGATGCGTGGGGAAACTTCTTTGGATCCAGTGGGCTTACTCTGAGTATTCTAGAATTACACCAAGAAGCTTTATAAGGGAGCAAAGCATGCAGAGCAAAGCCTGAGGTGGGCCTCGTTGCATCTTGTAAGCAAACTTCACGTGTGGGAATCAGGAGATGTGCCTGGCATCGCTTGATGGAAACCAAGGTGGACCTTGCGAAAGTGCCAAGGGAGTTCCTGTCCACATGCTGACCAGACCTTGGCTCCATCCCCAACCCCTTTCTTCTTTTGCTTGGCTGCATTGGGGGGTGGGTCTCTCTAGGGTCCCGGGAACGGTGACTGATTTTTGTCCCGTGCTCCTCTCTCCAGTTACGCGAATTTAACATCTGTGGCCGATGCCAGGTTGCGCGATACTGCGGTTCGCAGTGCCAGCAGAAAGATTGGCCAGCGCACAAGAAGCACTGTCGGGAGAAGAAGCGAGTCATCCAACAAGAACTGGGACCAGAGCGATGACCGGCTGGCCGAAGCCTTAGCTGCAAGGCCCCTTCCCCCGGAGGGCGAGGGGGGGTGCCTGCTTTGCACAGACTGCTCACTTGAAGCCAGAGGCACTGACAACGAGGAGAAGAAAAAACGAGACAAAAGACGACCTACCAACCCCTGTGATGCTTGAGGAGAGGGAACTGGACTTTCCCTTCTAGTGTTAGTCTCAAGCAAAAAGACTACTGTGGAAGCTCTCCTGGCTGGAAGCTTCTTGTTATTTATATGTTAATATGTTTGTAAAGTTGTGTACAGGTTTCTGTTTTGTTTTCGGGGTTTGTTTTTGTTTTGGGGTTTTGTTTTGTTTTTTGGTTTTTTTTGGGGTTAGCAGTTCTCTTATCTAGGACTCATTTACTGTAACGTTCGGGTGAGAACACATTGTTGGTTGAAATAACTGTCCTGTAGCGAAAGCTTTTTTCCTCCCCCTGTGGCTGGGAGAAGGCCAGGGGGCCTAGCGCAGACATCAGTTAATCTGAACAACTCTGCATGGAAGTTGTGTTTTCAAGTAAAGGATTGGAATGGATCGCTGGCTTTTTTTTTTTTTTTTTAATATTTTGAGGTTGGTGGACTTTCTTCCCCCTCATCTAACCTGTTCCTTGCTGTTACCTCCGTTTTCACATAGTATTTCCCCACAATATGGAATTGAGCGGATTCGGGGCTTACAACCTCTGCTAATATTTTTTCTCAGGCTGCAGGAGGCACAGTAACCATTCATTGGATGAAGCAGCTCCCAAATACTCACATTTTGGGGGAGTCTTGGGGAGCATCAGAATAGATGTGTAATCCTTACCGGGGGTTTCCCCCGCTTGTTTTGCAGTTTGTTTTCTAAACAATGAGAAATGATGCTCCTGGAAATGGATAATATTGCCGACACATTGAAGCAGCATAAACTACAGGAGCTCGTTCTATATTTAGAATTGCCATATTGTGCTTTGAGCAGGCATGATGGAAAATTGTACCCCCAGTCTATTAATTTACCGGGAGCCGCAGTGTTTTATTAGCAACGGTCTATGTTGCTTTCCCCCCAGAGATGAAATGATCCTCCAACTTCCATGGAGCTTTTAACTTAAAACCTGTGATGTAAGAGTCCTGCTCTCTTACACGCATCTCAGGTTGGTACGCCTGGGTGCCAGTTTCTGTATCTGTGTACACAACCAAGGGGTCTGTCGACTAATTGCTGGCCAGGCATTTATATTAGCATCCAGATTCATATATTCCTGGCCGGGGCTGTTTTGGAGAATTCCAAATTTGAGCCTTATTTTCTAGAAAAGGGGGGGGAAATGATCCTGGATTCTGATCCGATGTATTTAGTGCTATCTGACCAGCTGTTGCCTGCAATTAAGCTGCACAATGGGGAGAAACAGCCATTAGCAAAGATTTCCACACTAGCAAAAGGAGCAGAAAAAAGGTGACAGCTGTCAACACCTGAATAAGAGACAGTTCGATATTTAATTCATTTTATTACTGGAACACCTATCTTTACTGTAGCGTTCAGTCCTTAAAAGTTGTAATTTTCCAAATTCATTTGACGCTGATCGGTTGTGAAAGTCTTTCCTTCTACATGCTCATAAAGCAGGTAGTTTACTCTGGCAATAAAATACATTTAGGTATCCAAATGAATTTACTTTTTGAATTGACTTTGGAGTGAACGTATAGGAAAGGGGCCTAGATATGTGTTTTTGCTATTTTTTTTTTTTCCTTTGCGGGTGCAGCATTCTTAAGTCCCACAGTTTCTAGGCCACCCATTTGCTGGTAAAAACAATTGCTCCATTATTCCTAAATCTATATATATATATATATTTTTAAGTGAATTCAACTGCCCTGGGGTGCGGAAGAGATCTCAATGTAGGGTTTTGCACATCTGTTTTGAGGACATCAAGGCTGCTGTTTCTTTAGGTGTGTTCAAGTAGCGTGTGAATCCACCAGCAGTCCAAACGTGCTTGTTCTGAGCCCCCTTATTTCACAACTTCGGCCACTAAACCCTTCGGCATTTTTCCGTTCTGGAAAAGAGCCTCTCCATCAAACCGTAACCCCCTCCCGTCCTATCAGACAGACAATGCAGCCACCTCCAGATGTTTTAGGCGTTCGATCTCTTCCGCCCCCGGCCTGCGTGGACCCCAAGTGGTGCGGGCCGCAGCAGGAAACAGCTGGAGGGCGCCAGCTGCCCTGCAGAGCCCCAGGGCTGTACGGTCTCCCCTATTTATTTTGCATTTTCCCAAAAGGATATACTGCAGCTTAGGGGCGAGGAAGCGGCGGCCGGTCGAGGGTCGGCGAACTACAACTCCCGGCAGCCTCCGCC